ATGTCTTCGGTCTAAAAGAGCTGGCTCTGGGTGTTTCGAAACAGCAGGTGAAATGCAAATGGTTTGGTGACAGGCAGAAGCAGGCCTCAGCGCTGCCTCCTGCTGGTCTCCTGATCGGCTCAGTCCCACATCAGAGCAACAGCCACGCTTTTCAAACACAAGATATCAGTCAGAGGGTTTATAAATCACATGGACATAGACACGTGTAATGTTTGTGAATGTATCTGGAAGGGAATCGATCAATACTTGATTTTCTGAAATAATCTTAAGCTGCAGCCTGAACGCAAAACGACATGTGTTGTTGACAAAAAAAGCAGAAATATGAATATTTAGATTTCTTATTTTGACATTTTGATACTAATATTGACAACTGTTAAGTTTTATATTCATAACAGTTGTCAATAACAGATTTTTTGAGTGACATCATGAAACTGGAATACTGCGATAGTGTTAGTGTTTGTGTGCGGCGCACTCGTGATGTTTCCCTTTGGCCTGACGCTTTAACCTACGTACTGTATAATGTGTTGACAGTAACGGTAACAAATACATTTTAAAAGACTGTTTTCCCACAGTGTAGATGTCTTTCTGGAGTCCAGCGTCTGCGAACCGGCGCCGCTGGTTAATGATGACAACCTGAGCTGGAACACCTCACTTTTGTTGTTGTTTCATAAATACATTTGAGGATGTTCCACTCCTTTTCACATATCTGTCTGAAAAGGTAGATTTAAAGATTTGACACAAAACTCTGAAAACTACTGATGAAATCAAGCTGTTTTGAGTGCGAAAAACAGCTTGCATTTTTGTTTTTTAATAAAGTTCTGTAGTTTTTTTTCCCTGGGGCGACAGTAGCTCAGTTGGTAGAGCACTGGCCTTTGAGCCTGAAGGTTGTGGGTTCGAGCCCACCGTAAGACCTACTTCACAACTCCCACTGATGACTGCTGTCGTTGTGTCCTTGGGCAAGACACTTAACCCCACTTTGCCTGAAGCTCCCACTGAAAGATCTCAGCTCCTGTGCACTCACCACCTGCAGGAGGATCAGTGAGGGGCTGGTGCTCTGTGTACTGGGTGGCATCTCTGGCCACCCCCCCGACCCAGAAATGGATTAAGGGGAAGAAAATGGATGGATGGAGTTTTTTCCCACCGCTATTTATATTGTGAATTATAACGTTGTTGTGGCTAGTCTACCAGTCTGAAGCTTCATTTAAGCTTCATATTATTTTTTTGTTATTAGTCCTACATCTTAGAAAAAAAAAAATACATTCCTTTCTTCAAGGAGTGAACATGAAAGGGTTAAATAGGATCTCGTGCTGGTTCTTTGAGGCGTCAGAGCCACAGTCTGCAGGACACATGTGTTCTCCTGCAGCGAGGGAACAGGTGAGCGCTGTTGTCGCTGCGTCTGAAGGAGAGAGGAAAAAACATAAATGTTAAAAATGTGTGATTTTAAATTTAAATGTAGGATTCTTCTCAGTTTCATTGAAGTTTGAAGCAGTTATGTACAAAAGCAGTGAAGGTTGTATGGTATGATATGGTACTGTATAATATATTTAGTAAGTAAGTAAGTAATGTTTATTTCCCGCAAAAGAGACTATTGTTTCACTTTTTAACGTGTTTGCACATTTCCCTTTCTTTTGCACAACTTGAGTGATCCTATTTATGCCAAATGTGATATGTACATTTCTCCATTGTGAGACTCCCAACCAGTCCAAAAAAGAAAGACAACATCGGACAAGGGTTCACATGCTTTACTCAGACAGCACATACTCATACGCACATGGCATAAACCACATTAAAATAGACACAGGTCACCAGCACCATCAGAGACCTCTAGGACCACAGAAAAACACAGTGGCAAGAGCTCTGGTGTGTGCCGTCCTCTCCGTCTGGTGCGCACTGGGGTAGTCTTGCACAGTTTTTCCAATGTGGTTTTACTGCAAATGGCAAATAAATGAATCTTATCTGAATCTGAATCTGAAAAGCATTTGTGATAACAGGACATCAAAACAGAGAGCACCCCACAATCAATCCATACTTGCACTTCAGTAAATCTAAAGCTCTCACCCTAAAAGTGCAGTCTTCTATTGCACTTACTCTAACATTATATTACATTACATTTCTAAATCAGTGAAGATGTAATTACGTTGTATTTTCCGGACACTGTGTTTCCACGCTTGGATCTCAGGGCTTCCATACTGCAAAAGGAATTGCAGTATACCTGAATGATATCATTGTTAATATAAATATATAATAGTAATAAATACAAATATGTCAAATAATACATTAAAACATCTCAACTATGGAGTGACCCAATGTTGTTAATTTTAATACTTTTAGATAATAGCAGTCTTTGCGATGACCCTAAATGTACAATTATTCACATTTATAGACAGTGGTCATCCCGCTCCCCATTGACTCCGATGTGTTTGTTATTATTGCATTTCTTGGGTTCAAACTATTGGATTCTCTGATCTGTCGTCTCTCGTAAAGTCCTCAGAGACGGCTACTGTTGTTTTAGTGCTATACACAAAAAATATCAATGAAATTATTGTATGAAAGAGAGCGGTTGGAGCCAAATTGTGTCTGCTACATCCAACACCTTCTCAAAATATCTTTCTGTTTGTTTTGTTTGAAAAGTACTATCTTAGACTTGTTTTGACATAACTCTTTGCTTTGCTTCTAATTCAGCTGTAGCTTTAATATAGTCAAAGAAAAGCTGTTTATTTCCTAACCCAGCGATAATGGCCGTTTCTTTATAGGCTTTAGAGGTTAATGCCAAAACAAGCGACCCTCCGTTCCCCATTACTCCTCTGCTGATGCTAAACTGACTAGCAATCAGCACTTCCATTTCGGCGACGCGCGCTCAGTGGTCCGTGAAGGCATTAGCAGCCTCCGAGCATCTCCAGTGGTGAGCGGAGGGAGGCAGGTGGATGTAGTGACACAGAGCCCCGATGGGAGACCGCCCCTCCCTCAGCTGTACAGACTGACGACTCTATTGACAGAGGACAGAGGACAGCGGGCGAGAGGAGGCTGCGGAGTTTCTCACGTGTACGAATAGATATCTTCATTCTAGTTGTTACAGTGGTCCCTCACATTAACGCAGTTCATCTTTAGATAAGATAAAGCTTTATTGTCAGTGTGGAAATTTCAATGTCATACTCAAACAAAAGCAGAGTAAAAGAAGGAAATGAGATGCTCTTATTGACAGAGCATACATCCTCCTGAGGACTCAGCACCTGCAGGAGGATCAGTGAGGGGCAGGTGCTCTGTGAAGTGGGGGCAACGCTGACTGCCACGCCCCCAACCGAGAAATGGATTAAGGGGAAGAAGATGGATGGATGGAAGTTACAAGATCTATTATTTAAGATAATAAAACAAAACTCTGGAGCTATAATTGCACTTAGTTCAAGGATAAGTCACTTGTGCACTTGTACGCTGTAGTTAACATTATCATGAGGTGTTTTTGTTTTTGCATCATCATGAGGTGTTTACAGACGTGTGTATTGTACTTTAGCAGCAGAGAATATGAGCAGAATAAACAATAGTACTAATAGCAGCAGGTGAAGTGACTTATCAGAATTATCTTTTGCGGCCTTGCTGTTTTGTAGCAGTCCAACATAATCTTATACAACATCATATAACCGCTAATTAACCACTATTTAAAGTCAGAAGAAAACTTTTGTGGCTTGTGTGAACCGCGGTGATTAGTTCAGACGACTACCACAATCTTTCCTCAGTCCTGCTCCTGCCCTTCAGTGCGGTGTCCTCTGCAGCTGTATTTTACAGTGTAGGCACCGCTTTTGACAGCTGCAGCAGCACTCAGACATACAACCGGTTTGAAATTTTCCCGCGATCGCACTTCAGCGTTTAAGCCTTCAAACAAACAGCAGATACTTCACGGATTTTCCTTTTTGTGGGTTATCTTTACAATGTAACCCCGCAATAAACAAGGGACCTGTCACGTGGAAAAAAACAGACAAATGAGCCAAAATGCAGCAATGCAAAAGAGGCAGGTGAAACACATGAGGGCGGGGCAGACAATCAACAGGGGAATAGGACAGGAAGTCAAAGTGAAATCCACACCATGACAAGACCACTCGCTGAAAGACGTATCCAAAATTACCTTACTAGCCGGGGCCTTCTTTTTAGGACAGACATGCTAACATTTCCAAAGATTAACAGATACCGTAGGGCTGTGCCAAAACTCAAAAGATTGGGAGATCACAAATATCTGTCATTAGTCCAAAGTCCACAAGAAGAATTTAGTATAAAAAGTTAAACCACAGATTTTTAAAGCCCAGGACTGTGAGTGTGACACAGTTACCGTTACTGACTTTTCGAAATACATGTATAAATGTAGGAGCCAGAGCGAGTTGGAGCTTCTTCCATGAGCACTTCCCTATTGGGCTTCAATGAGCTAGCAAGTTAGCTTTGTCCATCTACAGTCTATAGTTGCAACATGATTTAAGGACAAGGTGTTTTAATGCACTATTGACTTTGTAAATAGTGCAATTGGAGGAGGCACACATTAGCTGTTCTCTTCCATGTCAGGACTCCTGGGTTCCACCTTCAGGCCTTATCTATGTGAAGTTTGCATGTTCTCTGTATAGGTTGTCTCCAGGTGTTCCGATTTTCCCTACCACTCACAATGTGTCTGAATTTAACGACAATGAGTGAATGGACTGTGAAATTCTTTATAAATAAAGATGATTGACTTACATTCACTTTAGAAGCTTTATAGCACAATCACTGTCCATTATGAAGAGTAGTTGGAGCATACATTATTTATCCATTCCAACTTTCCACTCGCAGGCCCTTCCCGCTCTTTCTGACCGACTTCCAATCGTTCCATAGCGCAAAAGCAATTATAAGTGAAAGCTCATTGGCCTGTGTGCATATCGAGTGTCTTTGATGGAACCTGAAAGACCAATTATATCTACATTAAGACGGAGAATGTCCATCGGAGCAGTTTGTCTCGTTAGGTCTGATCGATACAGTGACAGATAATGGACTGGCCGTGCGGCGTGCCCAGGATCAGCTCGGAAAAGCGAAAGGAGAGCAGGAGTGTCGCCGTATGTGCCACCGGAGTCTGGCTTTGACACAAGCTCAATGCAGGTTGGCAGTTTGAGTTATGGATAGAGGATGCAGTCCAGCTCAGTCCAGAGACACAAGGGTATATTTATCAACCCAGGTGCTAAACTGTGGTGCAAAGTGACGTTTGAGTGGTTTCGTTCCATCTGCATGCTCACATCGTAAATCAGCTTGCTCCAATGTTTTAAGGGCACGCACACACACACACACACACACACACACACAGACAAATATTCCTTATCTCTCAGCGTGTTCCCACCGCACCCGGCTTCTCTGGAGAAGAAAGAAAAGCTTTACATAGAGCTCCTCCAAAATAAAAGGTGTTTTTTATGTAGTTTGAAGTGTCTTATATATGGTTTGAACTGTGAGATGAAAAACTAAGGCCAGCAGCTGCTTAATAAGTTTTATTTGTGCAGAGGTAAATATTAGAAATACACAAACTCTTGCTGTGATTCTTATTCCGTACTTCTTTATTGCTATGTTATATTTGTGATAATACCTGCATGTGAAAGGCTCATCCCGTCAGACCTCTAAAACTAAGCAGGGAAGGGCATGGTTAGTTCTGTGATGGGAGACCTTTGGGAACACCTTATGCCACAGTGGGGTGGCTGCAGCTGCAAAGTGTCAAACTGCTTTTGAGTTCTTACGCAAGACACTTCACCCACATTAGAATGAGTCTGGTGTGTGTGTGAATGGTTGGTGGTGGTTATAGGGGTCAATGGCACATACTGGTTGCCTCGCTTCTGTCAGTGTGCCCCAGGGCAGCTCTGGCTAAAGTTGTAGTTTATCACCACCGTGTATGGAGGGAGAGAATAATGACATGTGAAGCGTCATGGAGTGTCCAAAAAAAGCTCTACATAAAACCGATGCATTATTATTCATGTATTCACTTCCATTCTCATGGCTCCAGCCCCAGCTGATCCTCCCGCAGGTGGTGGGTCTGCGGATGACACGACCCGACCTTGGTCTTTCGAGGGGCACTTCAGGGAGAGTGAGGTTAAGGGACACAGTGACAGCAGACGTCAGTGGGAGTAGGTGACATGTGTCGTAGGGGGATCAAACCCTCGACCATAAGATCCGAAGAGACTGCTCTACCTACAGAGCCACTGTCGTCTCGTTTTAAAGACCTGCTTTTTAAATGTGCTTGTCAATGTGAAGCACTGTGGGCTGCAGTCAGTATGAACTGTGCTGTGAGGTGAGTGTGCTATAGTGAGGAACATTAACCAGCTGAACGGAATTTTTGCAGAATAAGGCTCTGAAAAGAAACATTGTTTTGAGGGAATTAAGTATTTCTGATTCCAAATAGCCCTTGGAGCTGTTTATATTAATGACACCGGGCAGGAGGAAATCATGCATGGACTGCTAGTCTGGCTACATGGTCCATAATCAGACACTCGGGTAGTTTTTCAGGATTAAATACATTTTGTTTGACAGAAAGAGGACTTTACAAAGTTGTCGATTCACCCACAACAGATCAGAGAATCAGACAGTTTGAATAAAGAAAATGCAATAATGACAAGAGCCGTTGGTCCATTTGAAGCGGGATGACCAATGTCCAGAAAATGTTAATAAATATCTCGGGTAATCATTGTCCTTAGACCCTCCTGAATCGGCAAGGAACAGTTCAAAAACCCAGTGGGGAAAAAAGTGAGAAACCTCGGGGAAGCCCACATTGACAGTACATACATCCAGGAAAACTCTGATCTAAAGATGTGAGGACAAAAATACATGCATACACAAACGTTTGAAAGCTGTTTAGGATCTAGTTACATTGATTTTTTTTTTTAATATTCTTTATTTTAGACCGTGAATTATAATTATACATCACAGTTTTACTGTTAAAACTTACATAGTAATCAACAATATTGTTTCCTTTTTCACATCTATATTAAGGTGTAACTATGTACAGGAAGGGAGAGATTAACTAAAATCAGAAAAAAAATCTAAATACACATTTGTTAGGTATTATGAAATAAAATACAATTCAAAGCAAATTTCTTGTAACATAGTAAAAGGGACATGGATCAATTATTTTGGCCGGGATTGTAGCGGCTTTATGTATCTGACCCATCTAGACCATAATCTAATAAAAGTTTGTTTATAAAGACCAATAGAAAAGGTAATTGCTTCCATTGTATAAATCTCACTTACTTTCCGCTCTGCCACAGTGGGGGGCTCGAGGAGAAGCCTAGTTACATTGATTTTATTACATAAGTTTGATTGTGGTTTCAAAATTTGGTAGTCAGGCCTTAACTCAATCTCTCAGTGAAAAGGAATGTTTTGCATTGTGTGTGTTTGTCAATTATAAAAGAAAGTAAAACGAAAATGTATGTTATGCAATTCCTCATTATGTTGAGCAATTAGGACAAGGGATGTAAAAAACTATGAATTTTCATGACCGAGCCTCATTAACCGGTTGAAACCAGTTAACCGCGTAGTTTAAAATATTCCACGTTCTTTGAAATAACAGCCATTTCGAGCCGCCTTCTACTGGATCAGAGCCGAGACAGTGGCAGCAAAACCTGCAACAGCTCCGGCACCTTTGCGCACAGAGAACTGCTTTTTTAATCTTCCCATTCTGCTGTGCTGCGGGTTAATACCAAAACTTTTTAGCAGCAAACGACGGCTCGTCCACATGGTCAGAGCAGCGAGTGACGAGCCGCGTCTCACAGGTCTTCACAGAAGTTTAAATACAAGTGATGTGTGTGGAGCTGATCCGAGGACCATAAACACAAACATGTTCCATGTGGTTTGACTGGAGCCGCGTATTTGCGCGAATCCTTTGGGCTCCGTGACACAGAGGAGCGCGACAGACCGGTATGTGTGTGTGTATGTGTGTGTGTGTGTATATGTGTGTGTGTCCAATACATGTATGTGTGTGTGTGTGTGTAAATATAAGCTCCAATGTAGTTCTGACCCGCGCCTGTGTGCAACTTTGACGGTAACAGAGGGGAGAGATGATGCGTGTGGATGTTACGTATGGAGAGGGGGAAAGTGTGTGTGTGTGCGCGCGCGTGCATGTGTGCGTACATATGTGGCGCGTGCGGCATGAGAGTCGTCCCGGAGTTTACTGTTACATTGGCGCACACAGCTAGATACAGACCCGCTCGTCACATCGTGCGAATAGGGCTTCAAATAGCGTTATTAAGAGACCTCCCCTCTCCCCCTTTTCTTTTTTTAACCGACAGCTTTGACCGGTTAACGCTGTGACGGTCAACCACCGGTTAAACGGTCACCGATTTACATGCCTAATTAGGACATACTGTACTTGGAAGATGGATAAGTTAAATATACTGAATAAAAATGAGAGTAGTACCAAGATGTTAAAGTAGATCAATAATAACATTTTAGTATGTCTTCTGGATGTGCTGTCGGGGGTTACTGTTTCCTAGCACCGACTTTCTCCAACAACTGGCACACTAATGTCAAAACAAAAGAGTGCAACGATGATGGCCCAAGTGCCCTCCGTGGAGCAGCTTCCTAATTTATGTTAACGAAGGCTAATTTGGGCTCTTGGCTTCCACTTGTGTACTATTGTGTCTGTTTGGGGACTTTAGAAGAGCGGCTCTCCAAAATGATCTAATTTCTGCAAACATTCTTTAGGCCTCATTCCACCTGATAATGTCGTTTTGGTTTCCATTCCAGCAATTGGATCCTCGCAGCAGCAGCGTTTGACTCAGTGTCTTATGTTAATTTAATCTGAGAGAAATATCCCAATTACAGATTCGTAGTTTGGAGTTGAAGTGGATTTTAATAGAATCGTGTGAAAAGTTCCTCTTACGGTGGTGACCTTTGTGGAGGTTGTATCTCCAGCCGAAATCTCATCTTTCCTCATCATATTCACTCGCTAATGGAAATGGACCAAAGTAATGAGCTTTACTTGGAGAATTGTACAAAGAAAAAGAGCTGTGACTTTTAGTGACACACACACACACACACACTGACAAACCCATTTTGCGTCCTGTTAAAGAGCTTTTGTCCTTCAGTGAATTGAATATATGAATGAATAAAACCTTTATTGCCCCAAAAGGGAGTACCGCTTCTTACCGGAACCCTGGCATAGTAAAGGTTTTATGTAAGGCTCATCAAAGAGAGGACCTCAATGAAAAGATGAGCCACAACTGTGCAAATCTCCAGAATGGTCGTTCGGATCCAAGTCTGGACTGGAGTGAGCAGGGCAATACAGGCATTTAAGGCTGAGGTGTCCAAACCTGAGGGCCGGAGGGCAGGTCAAAGGACTTGTCCAGGGGCTGATGATCTTTATAATGAGGTGTAGTGTGTCCATATTGGCGGAGCTGAAGTTGGCTGGACTGGTGTCAATGGTACTTTGGGTCAACAAGGCAGAGGGCCACTTAGCATGACACAGAGGGCCTTGGTTTGGTCATGTCTGCTGTAAAGGTAATATCTGCAACTTCATATGTATGTTTTCTTAATAGGGATATAAACGTTTTACTATATCGCATCAATTAAATTTAAATTAGCATTTTTTCAAGAAGTTCCTCCTCTTTGCATTGATATTGGCATAGTTAGACCAATTTTGAGAGGCCTCAGTTCTCTAGCAAGTGTTTTAATCCATTGTGTCCCATCAGAAAGCTGTGGGGGCGGGGCTAACTGTTGCCTGTGTTCTAAAAATGTCTCTCCATCTTACAACACTGAAAAGTTACTGACCTTGATTTTAGGAGGATAAAAATCATCTCTACATCGTACTGCTGCTTTGCATTGTGTGCCATGAGAAAAATTATCAAATATGAGGTAATAATTGCTTGAATCAAGTGTTTTTTTTTTTTTTATCTCAATTGATTACTTCATTTAGTCATATTTCGAGAATTGTTGCTTTATTTTCTCATTCCATGGGAGACATTTCTTGTATCTTTAAAAACAAGATATGTATTCTTGTCCCACTGACAAATCTTGTTTTAAGGCAGTCAAAATGTACTCAAATTATGATTTTATGATTGTTCTTACATTGCAGTCTTGCTTTTCTGCTGATTTGACTTGTGACTTAAGCCATCTTAGTTGTCATGTCAGTGTGTGTTGATGTATTTGAAATCTATCCACAGTTCAAAATTCTGAGCTATTTATTTGAACAAAAATAAACCTGTTTTTGATCTTCAACTTATTTCATCTCCTCCAAAAGTGACCGACCAAATGCTGCGATGACGCAACATGCTCTCTGTCAACATGACACCCTCTCACCAATCCTCTTTTCCATGTCTTCCAGGGTTCGCACCATGCTAGCACCACTTCGCACCCTCCTCTCTCCCACGGGTGACCGCAGGCGGCAGTGAAAAGGACCATCCGGGGGCCGACCACGCACCATGCCATGTGCGCTCTGACTCTCTTCCTCCCTCGTCCGCTCCAACTCCAACTCCTCCTCCCCCGGATCCAGAGTTCCGCGGCGGCATGCTGGCAGTGGTGACAGCTGGCGGCCGGTATGACTCTACTGGACGTGTGGCTGTCTCGCTCCCTCCCCATGTGCCTCTTGCTCCACAGCCTGGTCCTCATGGCGCTGTGCTTCCCCTCGGCTAGCATGTGCCCCAAAGGCTGCATCTGCCAACGGGACTCCCACCTGCACGGCCTCAATGTCACCTGCAGCCACGCCCGCTTCAAGGAGATCCCTGCCGGCTTGCCCGTGGACACTGTTCTCCTACGTCTGGACCACAACCAAATCGGAACGGTCCCGGATCAGATCTTCCACGGCTTGCGGTACCTGAGGGAGCTGAACTTGTCCTACAACATCGTGGAGACCCTCGGCGAAGGCGCGTTCAGCGGCATCGAAGCGACCTTGCAAGTGCTGGACCTTTCGCACAATCGGATTACCAGCGTGCACAAGGATGCGTTCGCCAGGTTGAAGGCCAGGGTGATTGTGGATGATAACCCCTGGCACTGCGATTGCACCCTGCAGCAGGCGATCGGGGGCATGGCGCACAACCACGAGGCGGCAGCCAGGGTGCTCTGCCGGAGTTCCGAAATACGGGACCAGGAAGGCCGGCCGTTTTTAGCAGTGGACACCGATCTCTGCAACTTGGCGAAAAGGACAACGGACTATGCCATGCTGGTGACCATGTTTGGGTGGTTCGCCATGGTGATTTCCTACGTGGTCTACTACGTGCGGCAGAATCAGGAGGACGCGCGGCGGCATTTGGAGTACCTGAAGTCGCTCCCCAGCAAGCCCAAGAAACCAGACGAGGCGGACGATATAAGCACTGTTGTTTAATCGTGGATGGACTGGTTCAATGCACTCAACAACCAAAATGTTGCCCACTTTGTCAGAGTTGTAGGAGTCTTTGTAACTAAAACGTTGTGTTGTGTGTCCTTCCCAGGGTTGTTGGAATAGAAGACCCAAGGCTGAGTTATCAATCTCCTCTTTTCTATAATTCAATACCTAGTTGGAGTCAGAAACGCAATCTCAGGTTTCAATATAGACAGGCTTTTTTAGTAGGAAATTTGGAATCTTATGATAAAACTATATTTCTAAACAAGAACAAAAACAATCCCGTATTCCTGCATGATAACTTCTACACAACAGATAAATTAACAATCAGCTTTTGCAAAAGATGTTTACAGAAGATTCCTCTTTCTACCATTCAATTTGAAATTAAAATATTTTGTACAGAGAATACCCCCTCTGCTTGCCTTAAGGTACATTACAACAGAAAAGCAGGTGTCTACTATAGGGTAAATACGGATAGCTGGATAGGTATCATACAAACAAATTCCAACCAATATATTTTAAAGATTTTAGTAGTTTTCTTATAAACACATGTCTTAGTAATCCGAGGGCTTTCATAACCAATGTCATACATAAAGGAAAAGAATTAAAGGGGATATAACATAATACTTTTGTTCTTCGCAGTGACCATACTATAGTTTTCCATTGTAATTTACTCACTTTTCAAAACAAAACACAATTTTTATCATCTCCTGCCCCAAGATGCCCTACTCTTCAAAAATGTCTCTAAATCTCTGACATGCTGATGCTTCGGCAGCGTTGCACAGTCATTGTTGTTCGATAGGGATTTTTTTTTGCTGATGAACAACCTTGGCGGTCTGATCGGGGCAGTTGATGTGATCACGAGTCGATACAATTGGACTAAATACGAGAGTGTGTGGACATTGTTTTAGATCCATACTGAGATTATAAATGCACTAAGTTCCACGCAGAAGCATGTTATGTCTTCTTTATTCACTGTAGGCAATTATTCAGAACAGGGCTGGTACAAGGTAATCGCAATAAAAATAAAAATAGAATTTAATTTTTAATACTAATTTAGTAATGATGGATCGTTTTTGAACCTTTCATTGACGAGTAAGTAATTCTATAATGACTGCAGGATGAAATATAAATGCATTTTAAAGATATTTTTAATCAAACAGCCCAATGTGTAACAAGACATCTCTATGAAGGTGTGGTCCAGGGGCATCACCAACTTGTTTTGGTTGAATGTAGAAAAAAAATCAGACCAGAATCAGAATAATTAGTATTGCCATTAAGTCCACAAACTAGAAATTAGCTTTTACTCAAGTTGCAAGCAAGTTTTTAAAGTAAAAATATACCTAAGATAGGCATACAAATCTTCATAACATTTCTCTTAATGACCAACTAATCAGTGATCAAAATAATCGTTAATTACAGCCTTAATTAAGATTAACATGTTGATGGTAAATTATGTTAAAGTTGCACTATGTAGCTGTTCTGTCACCTCTTGTTTTCGTGACATTTTGCCAGATTTCACTTGTTCCTCCAGAAAAGCTTCACTGTTCTTCTCATAGAACACGATTTAAACATAGATTTTTAGCCTTCCAAGCAAAGACACAAAAGGAGTGAGCGCATACGGGGTTAAAAAAAATAAAATAACACAGGGTGAACGTAAAAAGTCAGACGCGGAAAGCAAAGTTAAAAGGTCCGAGGCACTCTGACTTAACTTTAAAATCCTTTACTGTGGAAGGGACATAGCAAAACCACAGCTCTAAGCGTTCTTAACAGCACCACTACTCTTTCTGGCAAGCCTGTCCCAGTTGAATACACTTTTGCACCTCTTTAACATTTTGAAAAGCCTGTCAGGATAATATAAATGATTATTATGGTAATGGCAAATCTTGTTCGTCGTAATTAACCTTTCCAAAGTCATCAAATTCAAGTGGGCCAAGACAGATGTTTGCATTGGGCTGCTGAATGACAACAAGACATCACTATTACTGTCGTTAGAAGGACGAGTGTGTGAGTCGTGGTAAACAAACTAAATGTATGGGGAAACAAATGTGTTTCAATTCTGTAAATTTAAGGTGACGTCCGTAGCATTTTAAAGATTGTTCGCTAATCATTGTCTTCAATATGAAAGCCTTCCAAACGTCCACCCTGCTCGCGCTGCAGGATCTGTGTTTTTGTCATATTACTTGCATATTGCACTAGGTTGTGTAATTGTTCTGTTTCCAATCGAGAAATCTGAAGAATTAATTGCTTTTTGCCGTTTTGAAAAGTGCTGGGTGAAAAAAAAAATTGGATTTCATAACCAGGAAACCAGTTCAACCTTGGCATATTCGTGCAAACCTGTTATGAAGTCCGGACCTTAGCATTGTCGAGGTGTCAAGGCTGTGATGTAACAGCGACACAGAATAGCGTTCCGGAGAGATAACGGCTGCATGTGAGTCAACCTCCAAATCAAAAGGTTAGTCTCGAGAAACGTGTCAAATGAGAACAGTTTCAAAAGAAATTGCCTATGGACCCTTTCTACCAAAAGTCACTGAAATATTAACCAGATAAGTCCTGCTTATTAAGTATTAACCATAAATTACTTTTGGAAATTTCTCAGGTGAAATTATAGCATTTACAATCACACATGCAAGGTTTGCAGACGGTAATTTTCAAATTGAGATAAATAAAAATCTCCATTGGTGGCAGCATAGGGAAAGGGCAGGTTAATGGCATTATTTACCCTTGACATTTGTTTCACCATATAGTTTCTACTGATGAGATTATTTCACTTATAAAACATGAAATGACTAAATAAATAGTCTCAAAAATAATGTGTCGTATTTGCTTCTTCAAAGAGAAGATAGGGATAATGTCATGAATGCCAAAAAAAAGGGAAAACTCAAATGCAGGAGAGCAAAAAGGCAAGATTTAATAAACAAAAATATCAAAATCCATAGTGTACCAGAAAACCCGAGATCAAACCAGGAAGAAAACAGAATGGACCAATAGCAAGAGGAGAGGAACACAGGGTTTTAACAGACACAGAGAGGCTCAAGTGAAATAGTTTAGGGTGGGGCAGGCAACTGAACAGGCAGGAAATCCACTCAAAAAAAGACAAGAGAACCGATATATCAAAATAAAACTGCTTAAAAATAATCAACAAAAATCCCAAACCATGGCCGATGATAGACAGATTGATAGATTGATACTTTATCGATCCCGAAGTAAATTGTGCATTCGTCCACGATTGCCTCCTTTGTGATTTGGTGATCTAACAATTATATTTGTTTAATTCATTTACTTATACGGGCAACAAAACAGGACATGGTCTGTGTCCAAATGGAGACCAGAGCCTATTCAAAGTGGCAAATGCATCTTGTTACCATAACACTTATAAGCACACCCACTAACACACCACTTCTTTTGACTTTCTGTTGCTTCTATCAATAATTCGTGGGTTATTATTATTATTATCTCACGTAAGAATTTGCTGTCTGAATATTCGGTGTCTTTTGTGTTATTTAGGTCGCGTCAATACCCATCGCCGAGCTGACACTTGTTTTTGACTGAGCGCATCAAATATGTTTTCGTTTGCGCATTTGTAGTCAATGTTATTACTGTCTGCTCCATGGAGAGGCCAGCCGGCAGGAATTCCAAACACACATTTTCCTTGAACACTGTTGCAGACTCTGTAATCATCCCTGTCATGACCAATCAACACAAACATCCCCCGTTCAGTTTTGCGTCGTTCCGTTTAATAACAGCGGAATGCAATGTTCCCGTGTGGTGTGACGAGAAAATCACTATTCTCTTCTCCTTAGTCACGGCCCATGGAGTGAGAGCCAAGGACAACACGGAGGAGACAGGATATTAAATCGGACACCGAAATCCCATGTTTTTTAATAATACCTAGTTTACATAATGGCCTGAAGAGACGGGAGTGGCGTGTGCTTCCCTCACCGTCGCTATGTCGAAATATAAAAATCAAATTCATAATAATTTGCTTTGAGCCCAGTTGTGTAGTGATTCAGCCTCACAGTTAAAAAGGTGACATCAAGATTTGGTTTTGGTGTGGTTTGTGCGAGGTTTGCATGTCAGCATCAAACACAAATTGACTTCATCTGGATCTAAATTCAATAAGCTTGAGTCTAAACATGCACCAAAAAACAAAATAATGTATGGAGAACTAAATGTATTTGGTTCTTCTCTACCAGACAATGGTACGTTAGCGATGTTATTACCTCTCGTCTGGCATAGAAGAACCAAATACCTTAATTTCTATCTAAGACATGATAAACTAATGCATGGAGAATTTTCGGCCATAGCTTTTATTACAGGCTGAATGAAGCCAGTTGAAGCTACAGCTGTTATAGAGGCTATTCTGCAAGCTCCACACTGTAAAACTAATGAGGAAGGATGGTAACTACAAACATATTATTTGGATTTGAGAAGATTTTACTGTGAAACATCATATTGTTTAACTTGAATTATTATTGCAAATTTTAATAATCATCCAAAAAACGTGTTTTTTGGTCACTCATAGAGGCATTACAGAACACATAGAAAAGATCAGACAAAATCAAATTATAAATATAGTATGAATGTTTTGAATTAAAAAACCCAAATATTAGAAAGGCTCACGAGTTGTTTTTTGGAAAGCCAGATCTATTTTAAAATTATGTATTATTTTATATTCTAAAATAAAGTCTCACCCTTAAATGTACTGCCAATGACAAAACATGTTCTTAGCCAGAAGAACATTTGGATTTAAAATGTTCAAAACTGAGATGTCTGCAAGTTAACTGCTCTTTTGTTATAATGATAGTGAAAATTATTTAAAACATACATTGTTCTTTTGGCAAATAATTAAACTAGGTAAATCAAGAAAATGCACGTCATTTGACCTCACCTACACATTCTTTTATTAGCAGCGCTTGTTTGACCACATCTCGATCAGCCACTACACTAGCTCTAAATAACAGAAACAAGAGGGGGGAATTCACATGATTCAAAAAGACAAT